AATAATAGTGCTGCACCCTGTTGGTAATCCTTGTAACTTTAATGCTATTGAACATCATAGAACAGAACCAACTTGTTTAATTGAAACAGCTGTTAAGATTCATTAATTCCATTTAAATATGAGTTCTCATAAGGTTAACATGGGAAACTCCAGACCCACTGGGGCGGAGGGTAAAATCCTTTCTTAGTGAGCGTCTACTTACTACCCAAAAGGAAGATGCCTGCCAAGTTTCAGGTTCCTAGGTCTTTTGGTTTCTGAGATTTCGTGATGAGTGAGTGAGTGAGTGAATGAGTCAGTGGTATTTGAGCTTTATATATATATAGATTAATTCTATTCATATTTCAAATATAAAACTTTGTTATTATTACTACCTGTATAATTTTTGCAAGCACGTTGCAATGTGCAACAAAATCTATAATATTATAAATTACAAATATTGGTTTTTGGCAATCACTTATAAATTTAACCATAAAATAAAAAAAAAACATTTAAAGTAAAGCCTTTAAATTTTAGTATTATATCACAGATTGCACATACTGTACCTACCAAAGATTACACATGCCATGCAAAATAGATATTGCAGCCAAGGCATTTTTGTGGTAGCAATTCCATGAGGCCTAGCGAATGTCTTCATAACCTAAGACTTAATTAATTGCCGAAATGACCAGCTGTTATTGTTAAATTGTGTCTTGCTGTTAAAATAGTACAAAATCCTGGGTTAAGTTTAATTTAATACATAGCCATAATATGACAAGATACTGAAAATATAAATGCAAATGTCAAACGGGGAAAAATATATAAACAAGTACATGAAATTAAAACGAAACCAACAAATCAGGTAGAAGTATGTATTATATAGATATGTATCTGTTATTAAAATAATGTAATTTGAACATGTCTATTCCTATGTAACAACTTGGTCAATGGCAATACATTTCTTATTCTTATTTTATGCATTTATAGTTTAATATTTCATAGATAGGTACAGAGGGCGTAGGCCTTTCCTCATTCTCATGTACACCAGAAGGATAGGCTTGAGTTGTTCTGGAACCCGTTAACCTGTATACATACATACACCATGGTGTAATGCACTGCATTCCAAACGCTACTCAGGACGCATCCTGTTGCCATTTTTTTTTTTGATGTCACAACACAAAACAAAGGAAGTCTATTTGGGTCAGAATTAAGATCGTTGCAAACTTTAGGAGGTTTACAATCAGTCCACTTGTGTGCAGTTGCGAGTGCAATTTGTGATAGAGCGTTTTTCACGACGAATGGTGAACATTATTAGATTGTATACTAATTCAATCAGCATTCCCTTAGTACATCATACTTGGAACATATCCATTTCATTTAATTTATTTCAACGGAAAATTGCCAATTCATACAGGAACAATTAAAAATTGCAGGGCTGTGCGAATAGTTCGAAAAACGAATCGAATCCGAATCTTTTTAGAGATTCGATTCGGATTCGAGAACGAATCTACTGTTTCTAACTGGATTCGGATTCGGAATCGATATTCGAATTTACTGGTAAGAGATCCGGGTTCGGATTCGATATTCGAATTTCTTGGAAATAGATCCGAGTTGGGATTCGATATTCAAATTTACTAGATTCTGATTGAATATAATTTTCAATATAATTTTTTAGACACTAAAAAACTACTTGTGCACTCCGATTTGCTGTTGACTGGTTCGGAACCTGACCAACTTGGTGTTAGGCTTTAGGCACATTAGTGTAGGTCGCATTTTAACCCTATCTTGGCTATCAGTAAACTTAACCTCACAGTGTTAGTTGTTACTTGTAATAGTAATGCAGACATAGGTCCGAGGTGTATAATAGGCTGGGCCTATGTTTTAGACTACACAAATTGGTAGTCCATCACTTTTAGCGAGAAACTTAGGCCTAGGTGGTATGCCTAACTTATGCCCAATTTTTTAGTTTCAAAACTTCAAATAGGTAGGCCTAAATTTCATAACTTTTTTATTTGGCCCATTTCAAGAATTTTTTTAAGCAATTCCCTAAGTTATTTCAGCCCCAGAAAATGTGGTCTAAAAATGTGAAAATTGGTACTGCTGACTTTCCTCGGATTTGGATTCGACTCTGAACAGGTTTAAATATTCGGATTCGATAACAGCTTTAAATTTCAGATTCGGATTCGATCCAGGTTCGATAATGGCTGTAAATTTGAGATTCGGATTCGACCCAGATTCGACTCGGGATTAATTAAAATATTCGGATTCGATCCGGATTCGATAAAATCTGTACAGCTATGATTCGGATTCGGATTCGAACCAAAATTTCTGGATTCGCACAGCCCTGAAAAATTGACATGATTACTGTGCAACAAATTTCACAAGCAAAAGCAAAGAACAATATGGTTAGAAATACAACAAATTGAAACAATAACAGATCAATTAACGAGAAATCTTACTAATATTATAAATTTGATAGTTTGTGTGTTTGTTTGAAGTTCAATCACGCATTAACTACTGGACGGATTGGGCTAAAATTTGGCATGATGATAGCTCACATTCCCGATTAACATATAGGCATATACTTATCTCAAAAATCCTTTTGGGCTCCGCCCCAGTGGCTCTGCAGTTCCCCATGTTAACCTTATGATTATTCATATTTAAAGGGAATTAAAGAATTTAGTCAGCTGTTTCAACTAAAAAATTTGGTTCTATGATATGCAAAAGCATTTAAAAGTTACAAGATTTACCAACAGGGTGCAGCACTATAATTTTATGTAATTTATATATGCATTTATGTAAACAGCTAATTTCAAGAAAGCAGCAACTAGTGATGTGCATATCGATACGTTTTGATACAGATATCGATACAAGGACCCCAAAATATTGATCTTTTGTATCGATACGTGGGAGTGTATCGATATGCCCGTATCGATACACCTATAGCCAATATCGTATCGAATATCGTATTGTTTATTTATTAATATAATTCTTATTTTTATGGTAAGAAATTTGTCTTCCAGCTTCCTCCCCTCAAAAGTAGTAGTGGAAATTTGATATGGAAGTGGGGACCCTCATTATCCATATTATTATACTATTTTAATGTGTAAGTGGCATACCCACCATCATTATTAGTACTTTTTGGTTCAATTAATTATCCCTGTGTAAAAACTAGGAAAACAATAACAAAATGTTTTCCAATTTTGAGGGTTTACCGGAATTTGGAGGTTATGTATGTATGTTTGATACAGATAAAAAAAAAGAAGGAAACGGCTTTTCTGAGGTAAACAAGCACTAACCCTCTTTACAAGCTTGTAAGTAACATAGTATTCGTCTTGGGTACAGTTTCTTAACTGGGCTATGCTAATATTGATTGAAACTATCAATTCGATTAGTAAACTTTCATACGATTTTTTCACCATCAGCAAGTTTGGTTGGTTAGGTTAGGTTATGATAGTTAAATTTTATAATAGATATATTTTAAAATATCGATTATTAATCAATATTTTCAATACGATAGTTTCAATCGATATTAGCATAGCCCAGTTAAGAAACTGTACCCTTTGTCTTATGCAGCTTGTATATTTGAGATATTTATTTTTTTTTTATTATAAATAAACAATAGGCCTACAATACGATATTTTATCCGATACAGATAAAAATCGATACCTGAGGATACAATACGATACACGTATCGATACACCACGTTCCGATACGTATCGATACACAGTATCGATACATTGACCCGTATCGCACATCACTAGCAGCAACAAAAAACTGTGATACACAATGAGAACTGTCAAAGTATGATTGTTTAAAGTTATGATTATGTTTTTAATTTCGTTAATAATTTGTGATATTTTGCGAATTTGTAATAATTTATTTTTCCCTATTATTTAGGTGAAGTGGATGAACTATGGCTATGGTAGATGTGTAATACTATAATGAAAATAAAGTCCTAAGAAAAATATTTGTACCAGTGCAGGAGGTAGAAATGTGGAGAATAAGGAAAAATAGAGAGCTAAGCTCACTATACACTGACCCAGATATTGTTGCAATAGTTAAAGGAAGAAGGTTAATTTGGATAGGGCATGTGCTAAGAAGAGAGAAAGGAACAAGACTGTATGAAGTTTGGAGAGCCACACCTGGAGGTAAACGTCCATTGAGATGGACTGACCGAGTATTGAACGAAATCAGGACAATGGGTGCAAATGTCAACTTGGCAGAAGACAGAGAATGGTGGAAGAGGCTGGTACACGAGGCAAAGAATCAACTGAGAATTGTGGAGCCACGGCAGTAAGTAAGTAAGTATGATGTCCAATATCCCATGAAAATAAACTTCAAGACAATGCCAGGTAGTGTTCAAAATGTCCTCTAACCAGTTTTTGTAACTGAGTAAAGGCATTGACTATACACAGAAGGCATTGACATTCTGTGTATAGTCAATGGTAAAGGTATCATTATTTATACCTAATGGCCATTATTTAAAATCTATCAGTCCTGTAAATCTGGTTAAGGGTTGCTGTTTGGTACTGTAATAAGGTAGCCCTACTAGTACATTAAAACTAAAACCAATTCATAGAACCAAAATTTACCCCAATTCAAGAAGATTAATACCCCAACCGCAGCAAACCTACAAATTATAAGTGAATTTACATTTGCCTGAAACCATGTGATTTTGAATGACATATTTCCTAAATATGCCAGATTCATTAACTATTTAAATAACATTAGGTTGTACCATTGACTATTTATTAATAGTCAAAGGTTATACACAGTGGTAAAGTCCTAAGTTTTCCAGTTAATTATCCGTTTAAAAACACTCACTGTTATAGCGGAAAATATAGGTTTATAAGGAAAAGAAAAGAGGGAACAACTCTTTTTTTTACATAAGGTCTTTGTTTACATAAGATTAAATTAGTAGGGCAAATTGTTCTTTCATTCTTTGGATAACGAACTAGTTAAGATACACACACTATTCAGTGATGTTAAAGGATGTGAAAGGTAAAGAATAATACACAGTCTGAGTTTGTTAATTGAACTGTATTTGGTCACAGCCAACAAATAAGGGTAACACCAATGTTGTTTTTAACTGTGTTTTCAATCAGAACACAATTTTGTTAAAACATTTTAATTCATTATGTAATTTTTGAATCATAATAAATGCCCCTGTAAATAACTACAAATATATCTCAAGAATTTAAAAAACCCAAGGTAAAATAGCATTACCAACAGCAAATAAAAAAAACAAAAAACATTTAAGTCAATAGTCAAAAACTTAGTCTCACAGTTATAGTAAAAATTGAATAACGGTAGGTTTCTTCAAGTTAAAAAGAACATTATGTAGGGATATATTGAACGGTTACATAACAATAAAACAAGTTATAACTTATAGTTTTAGAAACAGAAACATATAACCAATGTACAACTTTGGTTCAACAAATTAAGAAACTATAATACTAAGACCAGAAATGAACGTATTGTAAATAAAACTACCATAATAATAGAACCCACAAAGTAAAAGACGCAGAACTAATTATAATTTTTGGAAATGAGTAAATTTAGGAGATGTAGGATTTCTTCCATTGCTGCTACACAAATACCTAACTTATTTACTGGTGCAGGCCATACCAGTTGCAAACAAAACCTTTTGCTTCTTCCTTTTCTTTTTCCCTTCTTGTTTGTTGGTTTCATCTGAAAAAAAGTTGTTTTTTTAAACCAAACAAAACGTCTCTGAAATTTCTGTAAATTATTGACAATTTTAAATGAAAAAGCTGTTAAGTTAAATAACATAATATATCATTTAATAGTGTGTATTGTTTTACTGACAATTTTTAATTGTTAACTTTTTTTCAAATGATTTTCTTGTCCCACCATAAATTTCAAATATAAGGATAATAAAATAGATATCTCACTTGAGCAAGTAAAACTAATCAGAGTTTTTTTTTTGTAATGATAAAACATTTTTTAACCAAACAAAAATGCCTGACTTAGTTTCTTCTGCCGGATCATGTGACCTTTCCAATTAAGATTTTATAAGTGGCTAAGCCTAAACATTTGGTGGGATTTTGTGAAATAATCCATTGTTATTTATAGTAAAATAAGAAGACTGACCGTTTCTAGACAAAGCTGCTAATTAATAGCCCATAAAGCTAATGGCAACTAAGGGACCTACAGTTTATAGTGGAATCTGAACCACATTTTTCGCCTTGGTATATACGAAGTGGTCTAATTATCAGGATAGTACTGCGGATAGTCGTAGTACTCACTCGTGCGGATGTTAATCCACACCAGGAAGTATTGCATCCACAGTGCATGCCTATAAATATCCACAATTCGTGACCTCCTAGTAGCTGGATTACAGGACGACGCCACCCATCCCAGTCATTTTTAACTAAACAAAAATGCCTGAGTTTAGTTTCTTCTGCCGGATCATGTGACCTTTCCAATTTATATTTTATTAGTGGCCAAGTCTAAACATTTGGTTGGATTTTATAAAATAATTCATTGTTATTTATAGTAAAATTAGAAGACTGACCGTTTCTGATTTAATTTCTATGACAAATGAAATATCATAACATCGTTCAAACACATAACATCATTAGTGGTATTCGTAGTAAATAAATAACAATTGTAAACTTTAAATGGAAATGTTGTTAAGTTAAATAACATAATACATCATTTAATTCTGTGTATTGTTTTACTGACAATATGACTGACTTAGTTTCTTCTGCCGGACCATGTGACCTTTCCAATTTAGATTTTATAAGTGGCCAAGCCTAAACATTTGGTGGGATTTTGTAAAATAATCCATTGTTATTTATAGTAAAATTAGAAGACTGACCGTTTCTGATTATTTCTATGACAAATATCATAACATCATTAGTGGTATTCCTAATAAATAAATAACTATTTAATTATGCTAACTGTGTGATAAGTTGTAAGCAGTATAAGTATATCTGACCTTTCTGTTCGCTGGCATGCTGGAGGGCGATTGCTATGGCATCACTGAAACTCTGGTGGTACCCAGGAGCGGGGGCTGACTCTCCATCACTGTCTATAGTGTGGCGAGGGGGAGAGGGTGATGGCGGGACACGAGGCTTGCTGGCTGCGGCTGCCATTCCCCAGCCTCGGGGACCACTGCTACCACTGCTGTTGCGCAACATCTGTCAAAATGTTCTGTGTTATTGTCTAGTAGACTCTGTCTGGGAATTAACTGCATCCATATGCGTTTTAAAATAACTCATACGGCTAGGCAATACGGCAAATACGGCTGATTGCGTGGAGCTTTGCCTGTCAATTCGTAGGCAGCGCCATCAGCATTGCTATGCTGGTGCATTCTACAGCGGTCACGGAAACATCATCGTCGTCGTCCGCAATCGGGGCAAAATTATAAACATATCCCGCGGCCGTGAAGACATCATCATTGACTCCCGCAGCCACAGAAACGTCATCATCGTCACCAACGGTCTCGGAAATGTCATCGTCGTCTCCCACAGTCTCGGAAACGTCATCATCGTCTCCCACAGCCTCGGAAACATCATCTTCGTCGTCTGCGATCGCCACAAAATCATGAACATTTACCACAGCTGTGTAGACATCATCGTCTTCTACCGCGGTCACGGAAACACCATCGTCGTCGTCCGCAACCGTGGCAAAATTATAAACATATCCCACGGCCATTAAACATCATCATTGATTCCCGCAGCCACAGAAACGTCATCGCCGTTGTCTGCAATCGTGTCAAAATCATGGAAATTCCCAACTTTGATATTAAAATTAAGACTAAATCCTGACTTTTCAAGACCATTTTGAAATTCAATACTAATTCCCGACTTTCCCCGACTACTTGACACTAGGGGTGTGCGAGTACTCGAATCTTCGAGCTTTTTGGTCGAGCTTTTCATTATTCGGCTCGGCTCGAGGCATTTTGAAAAAGCTCGAAGTTCGAGCCGAGCTTTTAATACTGTCAAAACTATTGAAAACAATGTTATCACAATTCTACGTTGTTCATGCATTCGAGGTTTGATAAGCACGAACCTCAGCTCAATCAAGACGAAATGATTATCGATCGTAATTTTGAGGAGATAGGAAAGAGACAAACTACCACATATCGCGGTGTCTTTCTAACACAGCTGACAGCTATTCGTATCGTAATATACAACGCAGTGCGAGTGCGTGATTGGCTCGTCGCTATGACGACACACGGTTGCCGTGACAACCTACAGTGGGCACTGAGCACTGCGCCTTTGCCTTGTGTGGTAGGGGAGATTATAACAACAAACTATTTCTGGAATTCTATTTTGGGACGGATGAAAGATAAGGAAGAAACAAAATGTGGTCACGTGTGCAAATGTAGTGGGCGACACAATAAGGCTGTAAACGAGTATCGTCGTGCCGTTGTTCCTTGTTTGTTTACTTTTTCAGATTCCTTATCAAACGCCCCTATCTGCTATCTCTCTTTCTCTCTCCCCCCCTCTCTCCCTCTCTCTGCTCTCTCTCTCTCTCTCTAACAACGTACTGATTAAACAGATTGTGGTTGACGACTTTTCTACTTATAACTTTCCCTGGGTTATTTTAGTTCAATCAATCCCATAACCTTTCTGATGTTTATCAAAATAATTAATTAATCTGTTTTGTATTTTATTTCCATTAAACCAACCCCTATTTACCATCTATATTTTATAGAATAAAATGTTTGTTTCACACAATTTTGTACCTATTTCATTCTGTAGTTACTTTGATGATTATATATATATATACATATATATACATATATATATATATCTTTATAGACTGCAGGATAACACTACCTACCGCATTGGATTGCAGGATATTACTCCCCGCGAGGTAGCAAAGTTTGGTAGCGTTATGCCTGCATTTCAAACACTTGGAAGCCGGGATAACACTACCTAGCACTCAGATTGCAGTTTATCACTACCTCACTCCAATTTTATTGTTTTTCACCATATCACTACTTGCAGGCTTAACACTACCCAGTGATACCAACTCCTAAAATCTTTTAGACGCTAATATGCTTTGTTTGTTTTGTCTAACTTATTGATTATGATAAAACGGCAATTTTTAAGTGACAAATTTATCCTAAACAGTTCAAGATGTTGAATTACCGGTACTGAATTACAAAACATAAAATTATTTAGTTCTCGAATATGGAGTTTAATTTTAGACATATTTTCTCAATTCTAATCACGTTATACTATATTTTTTTTATCAAAAACGTTTAGTTAAATACCAGCTTTTATTTTAGTGGTTGACTATTGTGATCGAATGTATCTAAAGCACGCTGCAGAAGCATGACCAACAAAAAAAGCTATTTATCATTGATTTATAGTTAAACTATTGTAATTGAAACATTAACGTCAATCTTGACGGGTCTCACCTAGTACTTTTAATATTAAAAAAATATTGAAATAAACTGTAAATTTATAAAACTAGAAAATCTTAGCAAAAGTTAAAATTGTGAACGGTAACGGCTCTTTTTCCGTAGCCATATACCATTCTGAATACACGAGTAAAGATTATACATCTATATTGTTATTATTGTATGTCTTTATTATTATTAGTTATATAGAAATCGGTGTATTACGTGACAGTTGCGACAAAACTTGTGTGACATAATGTCGGCGCGTCTTTCGCCTAAGTATTATATGGTCAACGTAACATATTTTGAATTAATCAATCAATAATTTGAATTGTCCATTAAATATATGACCTTTTGTTACCCAAAGTTTTTATTATTTTTTCGACTATTTGCCAGGCTATTTACAAATAATTTATAGACATATCAACATTTAATTTTTTCAGTCGAGTTTAATGAAGATTTTAAAAATAGTTAAACGGTTCTTAGTCTAATTAATTGAAGTTATACTAAAAATAAAGACGAGTTGATTATTATTTTAGATTGTTATGTAAATCAATTTGATATAATTGCTTTAATTGAGTCTTGGGTGGATGAATCACGTGTGAATGTGAGTATGGATGGTTATAACGTGTTTATGATCAAAGAAAGTAGAAATCGTAATGATGGTGTGATTGTTTGTGAAATAGTATATTACGTTACTAGTCCTGAAAGTAAGTGTTTACCGGACGAGTGTGGTCGTTCCCGTGCGAGACGAAGTCGAGTACGGGATTACCATACGAGTCCGGTAAACACATTTTGGACGAGTTACGTACGATATTTTACGCCATACTACTTAATCCGTACGAATCCTTATATATTTCCACCAACTAAAGGACTAAAAATCACTAGTCATAACCTCTAATATGTTTTTGCTTATAACCAATTATTGCTACCTACGCAAATACAGTATAATCAGCTGATTGGTGTCCGGTAAAACTCATTGTAGAACAGTATCACGCAATGAAACCCCATTTGAATAAGCTGGCGGCAAACAGCTGTTTTCTGGACTGAATCCTTGCGTGGGAAGTTCGTCTAAATAATGTAGTGTGGCGTAAAAGTATTTTTCTGCGTGCATGGAGGAGGTTGGTATTATGTTTTGTTTGGTATTAAGGTTGGTAAATGTTTTGAGCAACATGTGTTAAAGCATAGACAAAAATGACTAAATAAAGACCGTCAGATGTGCTGCGGTTACCATAGGTTCTGGCACACAACACTGGGAGCGCCATGTATGTATGCGCTACGTAACTACGCGGCGCTCCAAACGGTGTGCGCCAGAACCTATGGTAACCATGGTAATCACAGCAGGTTGACAGTATATATTTAATTATCTTTGTATATGGTTAAAGTAGAGGTAACATTTGGCGGTGCGCGGCTTTCCCTGTTATCGGTGTATATGGATAGGAGTCCGTCTAGTGATCTACAGTATGTCCATTTATCGACGACCTTGAAGCCTACTTAGGTTAATAGGGTATAGGAAACACTGGCTGGTCAAACGTCTGGTCGGCGACATTAATTGGTGCATTTTGCAAAAAAAACTAACAATATCTCACACTACTACGTGAATGTTTTATATGGTTCAGGTTTTATTAGTTGTATCGATGTGCCAACCAGAGTTACAGAAGATACAGAAGGCTATCTGGATCATTTTTTCACCGACTGTAAAAATACTAACTTCATTAAATCTGCTATTATAAAACGTGCTCTAACAGATAATTTTTTCATGGTTGCACAAATACAAGGTCCGAAAGATTTCTCAAAAGCTACTACAGATTTACAAGCCAAAATAGAGAAAACTTTTTTAGATTTTTCAGTTGGAACCCGCCTTAACTTTGATACGGCCTGGTCTGTTATGTTCAATAAGGAACAAGAAATTATTTCAATGTTAAATTCTTAATAAAAATATGTATTTACCTTTGTCTACAGCTCAAACTGTTGTAACTTGAGTTACGGCTATAGCTTGAATTTATGTCGTTTCAATCCGAGCTCAGGGACAAAAACATAGATTTTAAATTCACAACCTTATAAGAACAACGCATATCTTTGCACTCGAGCCCTATCAAAAATAGGTATTGCCTTTTTAGTCAAAAATACTACGAAGTAGTTTGCAATCAGAGCCAGAATAAGCTTTCCCCTACACAAAAGTTATTGAATTTTTAAAACTGCAAATGCTAAAGCAAGAGCTTCCTTTTATAAAATAATAGTGGTTTAGTTACCTTTACTTTCGTACTTATATTTGTCCAGTTCAGGGGCAAGCCACAACAATGAGTAAGCTTCCTTTTCTATAATTTGTGAATAGCTACGCTCAGCTGTTGAGAATGTGCGTGACTGATATGCTATCAAGTTCACTACACCATCTGGTAAGACAACACGGGTCCCAGGCCTACTGAGCTAGCGTCTACGGACAATTTGAAAGGTAAACTGTTGTCATAAAGAGCCTAAGTTCAGGGCCTTTTACCTTGTCAAAAGCCTCAATACAACATTCTCATAAAATAAGGATGTGTGTACTTCATAAGCAGGTCGTAAATTATGACGTAATGTAGTGGAACGAATATGAAATGACGTATGGCTTCGACATAAGCCCCTAAAACGCTCAAAAGTAAAACAAATAATTGTAATATTTAAACAAACTCGGAATCAAATTGAAATTATCTATGTGTTAGGGTAGATATCTCAGTACAGTAGAACACATCTTTTGTGTAAAAAAACTGTTAGTTGTTCGTCTTTGTTTGCTTTTGTTGATATTAT